GTTTTTTGTACGGAAAGAAAAAATCACCAAAAATGTGATTTTTTGAGACAATTTTAATACAAATTGAAGATACCTCCCTACTGAAGAAAATTTTGTATGGGGAGTACTTCTATTTGTGATTGAAATTTCTTCCAATTTGGTGAAATTATGTATTTTGATGAGAAATAAGATCCACACGTTTTAATTGTGATTAAGTTACTGCAAGCATACATTTTGGAAAGAAATTCGATCAAATTCGAGTCAACAAAACACTCTTAGCATTCATACATGTTCACAACTGTTTTTATGAATTGCAGTCATTGCATTTAATTTATATTCTCTCTTTCTGGCTTCAAGAGCTATACTATTGTGTTATTTTTTTGTGAATTTTGATCAACGCTGAACGAGCTAATATTGCGCATTTTTGTGTTGATTTTTTCTATTTTTCTATATTTCTATATAATACATAAAAAAAAGTCATTTTTCTTATTAAATAAAACGTGTTTAAAAGTTAAAAATAGATTAGAAAGATCAATGACAAAATATATTTGCTGCAAAAACACTGATTTGAATACAAAAAGAGAAACAGTTGATAGTCGATCTCTATTAGTTCCTTGTGCTATTTTATCAGTGGTATAAATAAGACTTTGTGGTCAAATGATTCAATTCCATCTGTTTATCCACCAAGTTCCGGAACATTTGTACATTTGAATAGACGCCCGGCGTTGAATTACCACATCCAATGCCCCAAGCTACGATTCCTATGTGGTCAAGGTGAAATATATACAAAAATTCATGTATGCCATAAAATCTATATGAAACTTGCCTGTTTGTACATATCGATGCGGTGCATTTGGAATAGGACAAACGAGTGCACTGCCACCATCGCCTGACGAACACACTCATGAACATTCACATAAAATTGAAATTAACAATTTAAAACTCACCTTTACAAGTATCACCGCGTTCGCCACCTGGAAATTCAAACTTTAAAAATGAAACCTCTTCTCTCTCTTGGTGATTCTTTTAAAAACCGTTGAATTTTTTTTTACCGGCACAAATGAAGCTGGAGTGCAATTGAAAATGTCGGCCAAGTCGTGTCTCTCTCAATTTCTGAACACATGTTTCCCGCGGCACGATTGGTAGTTCGTCTCTTTTCAATATTACTGAATATTTGCCCTCTTTACCAAATCTATCTGCAAATTAATACAAAATTTGCATTTCCCCACATTTATTAATCAATTTAACCGCATACCTTGTCCCCAAGCCGATGCAAAGCAACGAGCGTTATCGAAAATATCATCGACATTTGGTAAACAAACAGTATTTACATTTTCAGCAATTTCAACTGGTTGTATGAGAAACAGCAATGCAATATCGTTGAACAAGGTACCGTGATGATATTCCGGATGAATGACATAGTCGCGGACAGCACGATCCTGATGGGGATACGGTTCATCTTTTGTTTGTGTATCCCATTCGCCGGCACGAATTTTTAAAATTTTCGGATCTTTCTGGTCGACACAATGTGCAGCAGTTAGAACGACACCCAGATCGATCAAAGAACCACCGCAAACATAAACATTCAAAATTTGTTCGTCTAATGCTTTTTCCTCTTTTAAAATGGCAACAGTCCACGGGAATTCGCCTAAATCATCATGGTAAATAATTCGTCAATCATTCGTTCTCGCTTTATTTGCCGAATTTAAATACTCACCGAATTGAGCCACATTGCCTAGACTGCTTGGGGTACGAAAACCAACACCATCTACATTCCGAATGCCACAGCCAAGATTTATCT